GACACTATAAAGTCAGCATCAGTCCTGCGGTATCACAAGGAGACAAGCTGATGAACATATCACAGACTCCCAAAACACAAATTAATTATGCATGAACTCACCACACGCATGCATCTAGCATATGGGGAGGCCGTCCTTAAATGACCATGTATAGCTGTTGATAGGACATACATTAAACAATACTAAATCAAACCTGAAGTTTATTTTGACATAAAGATCTTATTTATTTGGATAATTTCATGGAAATGATGACTTGTAATTTTAAACAAATGATTTGTTAAGTTCAGCTTGCATGCATTGTATGAATGTTATTTTAATAACATTGTACCCATATGAATCCATGATTGTCGTGAAGTGGTGATATATTTGAATTTAATACATTTGATGCTCTATTACCTGACCTGGAATGCATACGTAGCCATACCGAGACAATACAATACTGTGGTATAACTGTATATATATTGTGTACATAGTTTAATCGCCTGCGAGACCAGCTGTTCTAGCTTACAAATGTCCAGGTGACGAGAAATAACATGAGAGGAATTTGTTTAATTTTTGACACGAGCTGTAGGCAATTCACTTTTCAGTTCGTACTATTCTTCTCTTTGGATAATGACGCTTTAACTTGTAAGCGGAAAATACATCACTGGCGTCACGAGCAGCATCAATACTAAAAATGTCTTTTAATATTAACGGCTACCAAACCTGTGCTCCAGGTTACAAATAAATGCTATGTCCCAATCACCTGCCCTCTGGACTGGTTTTTAAGTAAGTTGTTTTAGTGCCAAATTTTGTACAGCATGATCCAACGTAGGTATCTTGTAATAAAATTTGTTGTTTGCCTTTACACTTTTACAATATTTTACCATTCATATATATATATATACATGTATATGTTTGTCAAAATACAAGCTCCTGAGAGCTTATGTTAACTATGACATATATTCAACGTAAAATAATGATTCTTGTATCTTGTATTTTGTTGTAACATGCCACTATGCTTTTATCCGATAGTTTTAAGATAAAAAAAACACACACGCAAGCTTTTAATCACAAACTTTTCCTCGAATGCACCTATGTATAATCCTCGGCACGATGAAGGACACAAGTTAAGGTATACTGTCCAGTGGCAGATCCAGAGGGTTTTTTGGACTTCAGGAACCCCACCCCCCTGATAATTTTCTTTAAAAATCATGTATTTTCACCATTTTCCTCAATTTTTCCCCTCATGAACCCCCCGACCCCCTGGAAATATGGAAAAATGAATGTTAATTTCCTTGTGTTGTACTCTAGCACATCAGTGTCTCAATACATACGGTATTAATCTGTTAATGTTCGATACACGTCAGTTTTTTATTTACCATCCTGATTATGTTGCGAGGTATTTCCGGGTCACGTTCTCGTAACCTTCCGGTTACGTAAAAAAATACAATTTTTCAATTCACAAAATCTTGATAATTTATTAATTGAAGATAGTTTAAAGAATAAACGNAAATTAAAGATAGTTTAAAGAATAAATGAGTTAACATAAACAATATTAATACATTGTAAATATTATTTTCTTGAATGTTTGCGAAGCAGTCGACGTTTGATCATCTGGAAACAACAGATTTTCCCCCAAAAAAATGTGTTTTAACATTTGACAGAAAAAAGTTTGAACGGGAAAAAATAAATTTGTTCTTTTATGAATTAATGAAAGTGATACAGAAAGGAAATATATTAAATAATTGATAGTAAATTTATCAAAAACATCATCCTTAGAGAGTATGTTCTGGGCACGATCGTTTAGAAGCTTTGCAATACTTTAAACTCTTTCAAACGCGCATCAGCTCGAGATTAGGTCCTGTTTACAAAATGGCGACTGGAAGTGGCAAGGCGAATTAAATTGGAATTTAAATTGCGTATAATTCGGCAAGTAAACATTGTTCACAAAGCCCATGTGGTCTGTTTATCTAATTTAGTCAAGATGTACTCAAAACAGTCGTTGTTTAGTCGATAGGGTCATTCACAAAATATTATTATATAAACTTATTGTAATTATTGTTTCAGAGAATTGGTAAGCACTCGCTCCGCTCGGCCATCATAAAATATAGATATTTGAATAATGCCGCAAACTCAGAAAACTATTCAATGCCTTATTCGATCTGTTTGACAATGGAAATAATGTCCGATAAATTCTAGCTGTCTACGCTTGGCAGTGCTTGGACAAGTTTAGTATTACATTTTCAGAGAAAAAAAAATCCCCTCGCCCTGCTCGGCAGGGAAATTGTGATTGTCACAATCTCAGAAATAATGAAGTTCTATATATTGTTTGGTGCCAGAAAGTAGTATACATGTACAACCGACATGACAATTATAATTTATTAGTTTTTTTAGTCTTTTTCCGAGTTTAAAATATTGGGCAACACCCAAAATTAATTCCTGTATGAGTCGACAAATGTAGGATACGTTTGCAAGGGGCGGCTCTAATGCATTTGGGTTTGCACGTGTATTCATTTTGATAAGATATTTACTGATACATAGGAAAAAGCAGAATTCCTTTAACTTTATGAAATCCTTATTTCCAAAATGCGAATCAGATTCACAATTATATTATTGAACATGATAGTGTTGCAACTGTTTAGAATAAAAATCAAGTCCAGTTTTGATGATACCAGAATTTGAGAAATCGTGATAATGTGAAGGAACTCTTTATTCTATTTAGCTTTCCCCGGCGACCAACTAAATGTTAAAATAAGCGTTTTCTTACTACATACTCTTCTACATTGCAATAATATCATGTTCCAGAATTGTGAATCAAACTCGATTTTGAAATACAGGATTTTATAAAGTTAAAGGAATTCTGCTTTTTCCTCTGTGAACTGGTTAATTGCTTATCACAATGAAATACACGTGCAAACCCAAATGCATTTATTGACTCGTATATCACCTACCCATCCTTCACTTTTTCCGTTCATATATACCATAAATATGATGACGGTTCAAGTAAAAAGCTTGTTCTATAAAAAAAAAATCTTCAGTAATTATAAATAATTTGGAGAACGCAGTCGTCGTACGCATGGATATTCAGAGAAAGTGTTTTTCTCCTGCCCACACAACTCCAACAACCCAGGTGGAGTATACATTGGTTTGTGGTGGATGTTGCGGTTTATATGCTGTAGCATTCAATTGTGGTGGTACTATATTGTAATGATCATTTTACGTCAGGTAGTGCACGCGGCTGACTCCGCTGGTAGACTCTGTTTCAGTCCCTGAGCTCGGCCATAACGTTGTAGCTATAGAATTCATTCTGACACGGTTGAGATGAAACGCTAGTTTAGAATTAAATTATCCTTTGTTGCCGACATTGTTGTCAAGTTTGAAAGGGGTTTACTGAGACGTGCCCCGTTCAGCTGTACTCTACACGTGCTTTGGAATGCCTTGGACACATAGTTGAAGTACTACAGTGAAACTTAAATGGAGGAAAATGGTCACACACAGTGTATCGAATAGTAGCTTGGTTTGGTTTTCTGTGTCGATTCATTAAATCTTTACACAGGTGCTTCCCTGCTTCGCACTTCTTTACCATTTTATTTTTCAACTATAACAAATCGTATTGAAAGTTTATTATATACCCGGCATACCAGTAGAACATTTTACTTTTTAAAAGCAGTCATAAAAAAAAAAACAAGTAATGATTTGTTCGATATCAGATGTTTTGTGAAAGACCAATGATTCACTGGTGTAATTAATTCTCATTCTCACAATAATTTACTCAAACATAGAGATTTCTCATTTTCGTAACCATTTTCCAAAACAAAGTGATATCTCATTCTAAGAATCCTTTACAAAAATAGTGATTTCTCATTCTCACTATTATTTTCGAAAATAGCAAATTTCTCAATCTTATAATAATTTACAAACATACTAATGACTCACTCTCACAATTATTTACACATCCAAGCAACAAATCTCTCTCGAAATCATAGTTATATCTCCATTTCGGCAATGATCTAATAGAAATTTCAGTCTCAGCCAATAGCATTACGTTCTGTTGCCAGATTTTGGTTGTGGAGGAAAGCCGTTGTACCACAGCCAAAAACTGTAATTATACGCATTGCAAATTGTTTTCTCCGAAAAAAGTCCATAACTTTAATAAATAATTCTGAACCAATAATAACTAATAAATAAAGACGAAATTAGCAAAATAAAATAAGCAACATTCCCTCGAGTGTAAGTGTGCCGGAGACAGGGTATGTTGATGCACGCTTACACAACACACATGTAGGCACGTCCTAAACTTGTCCATTGCTGTTAATATATTTTGTAGGACGTTAAACAAAATAAAACCAAACCAAACCCTTGAGTGTTAAAAGAGATAGAATGGGATTGGAACTTTGGGCTTCAGACTGTTATACTATCGCTTCCTGGCCAATGGAAGTGCAAGACAGTGATACAGTTATATCGAAAACTAACGTAAGGGGAGTTTACTATATTTACGAAAAACCAAAGAACAGAGGCACAGGGATCCTTAATTGGAACACAGAACTCTGAAGAAACGCTTGTATAAAACTACAACAGTCGTCGGATCCAATGTTTATTACATGACATAGTTCCGTTTACTGATTGGCGTTGTAGAAACGACATTTCCGCGATCGTCTTGTTTTTCGTGTAGCATACATGTAACTGCGACTTGAGATTTCTTGTAATGCAATCAAATGAAGTAGAAAGTGCCCAGTTTCGCCACTAACAGAACATTGCCTTTAGCACAGTCATTAAGGCTACCAGCATTGTCGCGAAGGAGATATTACGACTCTCTCAAGCAAAGTAATTCTAATTTATCAAGGTTTTTCGTGTAAACAACACCATGTATTTTTGTGAATCCCTTGTCATCTTTCCAATCAAAATTTTAACACTATCAAACACTTTTCAAAGGTATGTGATTAAAACTCGTGTTAAAATTTCGAGTCATGAAATTTGCAAGCAATATTATCATGAATTTTAACTATGTAGTCTCCTACCCTTTAACCAGCAAGGCCAGCATACGTTCATCTGTAAGTAAAGCTTCCATGGACGTCTGCAATTTAGAAGATTTTTTTAAAGATGAGGATTGTAATTTATTACATTTTTATTTTCAAATTAAAAGGTTTTACAGTGAAAATCAATTGACAATTTTAGTTTTTAACAAATAACATATATATTTTAACATTAAAGTGACCAATCAGAGAGCAGTGTGAAAATAACGATGTGTATTGTCAAGTGTGACGTTACAGTAGTCTTGACGTTTTCTTCTTGTGACGTCCAGGGGGGACCCAGGAAATAATTTTGGGTGTTGACCAAACTTTAAACTCAGAAAAAGACTCAAAAAACAAATAAATTATAATTGTCATGTCGGTCGTACATGTATACTACTTTCTGGCACCAAACAATATATAGAACTTCATTATTTCTGAGATTGTGACAATTATAATTTCCCTGCCGAGCAGAGCGAGGGGATTCTTTTTTCTCTGAAGATGTAATACTAAACTTGTTCAAGCACTGTCAAGCGTAGAAAGCTAGAATTTATCGGACATTATTTCCATTGTCAAACAGATCGAATAATGCATAGAATAGTTTTCTGAGTTTGCGGTATTATTCAAGTATTTATATTTTATGATGGCCGAGCGGAGCGAGTGTTAACAAATTCTCTGAAACTACAACATTTGATATAGCGCCCTATCTAGCTAACATAAGCCACTCTAAAGCGCTTTACAGTACATAGATATACAATTAATACAATTAGGATATACAATTTTGAGGAATTCGCAGGAGCTGTCTTATCAGCCGCTGACTTCTAGTCCTTTGCCACCTTGCTAATATCTCCCTATGATAGTATGTGCTGGAGATGTATTGTGTTCTGTTTGTAGTGGGACCGTGCTTCCAACGGCATCTTTTTATAGTGCCATCTCACTTGAATGCTACATCACAGTTACCGCAACATCAACCCCAGACCATGTTATACTCCACTTGGGTTGTTGGAGTTGTGTGGGCAGGAGAAAAACCACTTTCTCTGATATTCCATGCGTGCGACGCAATGGTAAAAATGTAGGTTTTTGGTTAAAATGTTAATATTTGTGTCATGCCTTTCATGGGCATGTAGTTTAGGCGAGCATTTTGGCAATTAAATATTAATTTATTTTGTCATAAATATGAATTATGATTTGACTGTTTGTCTTTTATTGTAAATTTGTATGCATGCATATGTACAAGGGCAACACCTGTTAAAAAGGATATATATATACATGCCAGGCTTTTATGCTAACATTGGTTATTATTCACCTGATAACCTGATGCTAAGTTGGATGCTTGATTATCTTTGACATTTTTGAAATTTACATTTTTTAACAGGTATAATAAATGACTCCTGGTGATCATGTGTACATGAAACCACATGTGAAAATACAGGTTTATCTATCATGAAATGGAATCTACCTTTGAAATGACAATTAACATATATACCTAATTCCAACAGATGGTTTTATCCTCTCTCAACGGACAGGGTGATCACCACACCGTGACATTAGAATAGACAGTCCGTTGAGCCTTCACCACTGACCTGACTGGAGACCCTACTAATATATAAACAAAAGAGGATTAATCCCCTATTGTTTAGAGTATAAGTAGTGGACTCCTTGGTTGGCCAACTGCACCCTTAGACGTATATAGATAGTCAAACTGCTGCTTGCCATAGAAATTCATAGTTCACAGGATGGTTGATATTAGAAGAAAATCCCATATGAAAAAGAGGAAAATCTCCAGATTATTTTTGGACACAGAAAAAGGGTGGTGCCGGGCAACTAGGGCAACACCCCTGGGTCCGCCACTGACGTCATGTACACAATTCCACATCTCAAATGTTTTGTTGGCAGGAGATTACATAGGTTAATCTATTTAAGGGGGGTACTTTCTTTCTAAACATACTACTATTTATGTCTAGACAAATAACGGTTATATGTGCTTCTTACGCATAAGAGCGTATAAAACCTGCATGAAACTGAAGGAAAATAGGTAAATCCAATAAAAAGACGAAAGTAGAATTGAATATTAATTTTAAGAAAAATCAAGCAAAAAAGTAACAATAAATAATAAAAAAAACTACAATGATAAAATGGGTCGGTGCAAAGCACCAGATGAGAGTACAAGATTTAAATTAACGATCATGAAAAATACACCATATTGATATTATTACACACTTTATTTATTTGATTATTGTATGTATAGATAGATTCATGTACCAGTATATAAAATACAATGTAGATAATGTATTGTTAATACAAGGTAATAATTCAGGTATGGTGAAACAATGTGTACTGTGTCAGGACACTGTTTATCTATCTGATACGGTGGCTGATCTGTGCTAGTTCGTTGTTATCTTTTCGCCCCAAATAGATGAGATGTAGTAACTGTCCATTCTCATTATTTCGTTCTTTCGCCCCGAAAAGACGAGAATTAACAAACCCTATTTCTCGTTTCTTCATTTTTTTCGCCCTGAAATGACGAACAACAAAACTTATGAGTGATTAAATCTCCAAATAGTGAGAATTAAATTGTGCTGATTTTCATATTATACGAGGGCGAAAAGACGAAACAATGAAATTGCAAAAAATCAGCCACCGTACAACTTAAATGTTTGCAGGGAAAACACCGGAAGCTGCCATGTTGTGCAAGTACTTAGCCTGCGATCCTTAACCGGACACATTAAGTACGGGATAAGATAAATATATCCCACATAAATACGTTGATTAATACGCAAATTAAAATAATAATGCATTGATTATTTCTTTGCTATTTGTGTAATTATTTACTAATGATTTAATAACATAAATAATAATTATTAGGCGCCACATTAACATAAACTTCATTTAATCCACCCATGCGGCGATGCAATAAAATAAAATAAAAATAGATAAAAACTTGGCAATACTTTTCGTAATTTACATGAAATTACAGAACACAAGTGATGTGAACTTCTGATTACAAAGGTACAAGACAACGTTATATAATATATATGTAAATCCGGAACTCTACACCCGGTTACCGCTTTCCAGAGAAGATGGTCAGAGTGTCAATAGTGATTGTCGCGCGGCAGTCGTTATTGACACTCGGGTGGTAATAGCAAAGGCCAATTAAAAACGTTCATCACAAAAACTCTTGTAAATCTTTATAATCCAGATAAACGTGAAACAATTCCATTCCATTACCAGTATCATAATATGGCCTGTTTGTTTACTTTTGGATGCATATTGATGGTGTATGTACTTGGAGTACATGGGCACTAAAACATCAGTTTTTCTATATAAATTCGTTACTTCTGAACACCAGGAATTTCCTTTTTTTAAAATGATGTCAAGAGAAACTTGTCGACCGAAGTTTTGCTACAGAGCTCAATTAATGTTCAATGGCAAGCACGTGTGGCTTATCATACCAATGTGTTTTTCACCTCTACCCTTTTGTGCTTGTAAAATCCATGTTCAGACAAAGATGGGCCGTAAGCCGTATGTAATTAAAGAAGAAAAATCCTAATCCAGTTTCCATTAATCCGGAAAAGGATGTCCGGATCGTCCTAATATTGGTTGATCCTTAATATCGTTATGAACTTTGAAGTTGTTCATTATGCACTGTTTATCACGTTTTTTCGCGAAGGATTAATTTTCGCTTTAACATGCAAGAGTTTTCACTCCTAATTAAATATTTCGCATGGATTGTTACTAGAGACAGTTCGCATTGTCAACTGATATTAAAACAATATCTGCTAATTTCGAATTCAAGCCCTTTACAAATAAAACATCTTCTTACAAAACAGCTCGCGAAATACAGTAAACACGAAAATAAAACGATTTGCAGTATATTCAATGTATAACAAGTTTTCGTGATAGAAGTATTTAAGAACGTTTGTAAATACCCAAAAGAAATTAATTCATAATTTGGTAAGATTGCTGAGACTATATTCACCTTTTTTTACAATTAATACGTGTTTTTAAGATTTAAGATCAATTTACTAAAATATTTTATCATGTATCATCAACGGTTTACAAACTTACATGGCAGTTAATACGAAGAAGAACAAAGACTATATTTTAGTCAGCTGCTGAAAGAAGAAAGCAAAATGTCACTTACCTCGATATTGGTGATCTTCTCCCGTTGCCAGGTAACTTTACAAGACGATTTGGCTTTTTAATGTCATTGTCATTTTTAAGCGTATGCTGACGGTAGAATACTGAAGACAAAATACAGATGAAATGAAGACACGTGAAATTGTTTTTGTGGAATTGTGCACAGTTGAATATTTAATCCAAAAATAGCACCGAACGGTTTGTTTACATACAGAGTAAGACGATTTTGAAAATAAGTTAAGGTTTATAAGTAGCATTGAGCGGTTTGTTCCAAAGGTTAGATTCTAAAGTGTGTAAGCACTAGGGAAAATCGCCCACTTCCTTCGCTAATGAGCTTCCGGTACTACTGGAATAGTATCCGTCTTGGGAGACCCTAGTTGTGAGGGCAGCGCGAGACTTAAAGCGCCGTACATCAGCTGGTATACCAACACCAAGCATGGTCGTCTTCAAATAAGGAGTGTCTCACTGTATTGGTTTGAAAAATTTAGCGCAATTCAGACGGCACTATTTTCAAGGTTAAACTTGCAGACAATAATTGTGAACAACGCAGAAGAGTGCGGAGCCCGGCCCTGCTTTCACGCGCTATATCGTGTTAACACGTAAATAATTGTAATATTTTATTACCACACTGGAGATGTGTATCCTAATTAAGTTTTGAGAAAAAAGTTCTAAAGGTATACGAAACTGTTGGATACCACAGAAACGCCAGGTTTGTTACCTATGGAATCTAGCTGTACGTGGACGTTACGTCAACATTCTATCCTCATTCCTGGAACGATATCTTCGATATGTCACGTGATTGAGCAATTGTAACTTGTCACAAGCTACATGATCAGTTAATTCCCTGATAACTGTTATTACAGGGAATATCTGCTATCAGAATAAGACTTAATGATAAATGCGCTGACAGCATTCAATCGATGTCTTTTATTTTCAATTTACACTTCGTCAAAGCAAGCCTGTGGGGAGAGCCGGAGCGGGTTGTCTTATGTCAATTGTACATACGGGAACAACTCCTCCGATAATTGTTTTCAATGTCAATTTACTATTGTGAACTTAATATTCTTCTCGATTTTCTGTACTTAAATTACCAATTATACCGAGTAATCTCCAGCAATTCTCAGCACTAGCAATTGTTGTGCTTCATCATTAAAATCGGATAACCTGTCCTGTTCAATGCATTTGACATTATTGGGATAAATTGTTGTGTATACCGTTCCGCCTTGGAGGAAAAGAGTGTCAAATTGTCAATTAAGAAATACATTTTCTCAGTAGTGCTTGCCCGCGGACAGACTCTAATTGAGTAAAGATGAAGCTGGAGATATTAGTTTTGATGACGGTTGCTATGGGAGAAATTCTTTGTAAGTATCAGCTTCCCCATCCCTGATCAGCCTTACATTGAAATTCTCGTATTCAATATCGCTGTGGTTCTTTGATATCACTTAAAACGTTTATTACTCCAACAGCTGGTGCTAGCTTTCATTTTTGGAATCGTTTATACTGTTACATGTAATAGCAGTGTATTAAATTTAGTTTTGGATCCTTTTAAGTTGAAATATTTCTTTTTAATCAAAATTTGTATCTGCCAATCTTAAAACACGAATAACAAGTCAGAGACTTAAAAAAAAGTCCGCCAAAACATTAACATGCAATTGATACGTTTGTCTCTTCTGAATAGAGGACAATAAATGGTTTCCAATTACATATCAATACATATATCATATATTTTACGATTATATTACAAATACCCCTTTATTCAACGGGAAAAATTTCAATACATTACAATATTCAACGAAAATAGTACATATGTATAATCTATTGCATTACAGAAAAGTGGGAGTCAATAGCGTTATATTTGACTCGAATCTGATGACGTCACGGTTGACATCAAGGCTGCATGCCATTAGGATTTGGCTACCCGATGAAAATTTTATATTTTCGACTTTGATCTGGTAGAAATTGCTTTAAAAATGTTATCAATTGTGTAGTAAATTAAACACCTAGCTAAGGGTACCAAAACATCATATATCATATCGTCGCTGCGGTTTTGTTTGCAGTAAATAGAATGTGCCGATCTGATTGGTCAATACTAAAGGTGATAAATTCACATGTGAAGATGTATATTTCCTTATATATCCTTGCTAACATACAAAATGTAATATATATTTGACCTTATAATTATATCAACGAAATCATACAAAAAGTTTATAAATACATATTTATGAAACAAAAGATGAGTGACAATGCTAATTGAATAGGTAATTAAAACAATGGTCAATAAGTGCGTCCGAGTAAGGTACATGTAAGAAGATAATCTTAGGAATCTACGTTATAAACAGGTTAAACATTAGTCATGACGGGGGCGTATTAGCAGGAAGTGTCGAATGTTTCAGGTACTTTAGGGTCATAAATACACTACAGAGACACATGCTTGTTTCTTGGAAAGCGTAGATCTGCTATACTCCACTGCATGATCGTCTGGGGCGACTATTATAGTGTTGCAAACTTGGATTTGTCTTCTTTTTTTCCTGTGTATTTCACTAAGAGGACATGGCAGAAACCAAAATTTAATTGCAACTTCAGTATAATATTCGGACCACTGTCTTTTCATTCCTTTCCTACGTACTATTTCTGCCGTGTTTGTTGTGGCTCCTCTGGTTATCCATATGGAGAGCATGTGACTTTGCGTTATGTCATGCTAGCGTGTCTAGGTTATGACATTTTAGTGTGATAGGTTTACTGTAAGAGTGGAGATTTTCGCGTGTTGAAATGTTAGCGATCTAGCCCTTTAAACTTATTGCATTGTGGAAATTTTCACGTTGGCACGAGTTCTGAAATCTATATATAGATTCTTTATCTATAGTCGGTTAATACATATTCGCGTTTAAATCTTTTCCGCTCTAATTCAATACACGACGCAAAAAACAACGAACATTTTCACACCGCGAATATTCCCATTTTTATATTATGACACTTTAAAGTGTTTCTTGATTTGCCCCATCATCTGTGGACAATATCTTTAGGAAGTTTACTATGACGCAAAATCATGAAAACTAACTTAACAAACTCTTTTAGTTAGATTAGTGATTACATTTACTTTTGTTTATTAGTAGATGTAATTGACTTGTATCAGCTATACTCACAAATGCATGCGATATGCTAGAAATAGCCTTAACACTTACATACTCCTTTTCATTGTATTGTCAATAATAATGGTTTCAGCATAACCTCGATATAACGCCATTCGATTCATTTGCCAACTTGCTAACCGCCAACATATTTCGTTTACTCTTCACAAGTTACACTTTACTTTTGCCTCAATGTGACGCTTAACTCCTTTATAATGCCGATATTTTTTGACAGATTGGTTTCAGTGTAACGAGGTTTCACTGTATGTTGTTCAAATATAAGGCCGGCCAGTTCGTTTCCTGTAACGATCGTACAATTCCTTTCCTGTAAGACTGAAACAATTCCTTCCCTATAAGGCTGGTACAATTTCTCCCCTATAAGGCCGGTACAATTCCTTCCCTATAAGGCTGGTACAATCCTTCCTTATAAGGCCGGTACAATTCCTTCCCTATAAGGCCGGTACAATTCCTTCCCTATATGGCCGGAACAATTCCTTCCTTGTAAGACCGGTACAATTCCTTCCCTATAAGGTCGCAACAATTCCTTCCTTGTAAGACCGGTACAATTCCTTCCCTATAAGGTCGCAACAATTCCTTCCTTGTTAGGACGGTACAATTCCTTCCCTATAAGGCCGGTACAATTCCTTCCTTGTAAGGCCGGTACAATTCCTTCCCTATAAGGCCGGTACAAGTCCTTCCCTATAAGGCCGGTACAATTCCTTCCTTGTTAGGCCGGTACAATTCCTTCCCTATAAGGCCGGTACAAGTCCTTTCCTATAAGGCCGGTACTATTCCTTCCTCATCAGGATAGAACAATTCCTTCACTATAAGATCGGAACAATTCTTCCCTATAAAGTCGGAACAATTACTTCCTTCCTTGTAAGGCCGGTACAATTCCTTTCCTGTGAGGCCGGTACAGTTTCTCTCCTATAAGGCAGGTACAGTTCCTTCCTGGAAAGGCCGGTACAATTCATGCCCTGTAAGGCCGGTACAATTCCTTCCTTGTAAGGCCGGTACAATTCCTTCCCTATACGGCCGGAACAATTCCTTCCCTATAAGGCCGGAACAATTCCTTCCCTGTAAGGCCGGAACAAATCACTTGTATAATACACTAATTCATGTATTAAGACTAAACAAGGTTACATGTAATTATCGTCTCTTCTTTCAGCTGTGACGTCACAGGAATGTCCCGCGTTCGGAAGAATAAAGTTTGGCCGAGTAAAGTACCGGAGCAGGCGTAAGATTGCCAGATTCCGTTGCAGGCGAAGATATACACTTCTAGGTGCCAAGTTGTCGATTTGTTTAAAAGGAGTATGGAACCATCCGGCTCCCGTCTGTATAGGTACATGTCAGCGTATTATTGAGCAATGAATATTATTTTGTTCAAATGAATGAACAGCTATATATGTTACTAATAATATATGAATTACGAAATTGTACTGTGTTTATCTAATATGATTATATATGCACAAAAATGCCTTACTTTGTCTGGTGTGTTTCCATGTTACCTATCCATTTTTGTAGATCCGAACGAATATACTATTTAACACCAAAACTATTCATAGTTATTCCTTACAAGATATACATATATGGACTTCGCAGATGTTTGCAAAGTGCAAACATTTTTGTCGGTATATACCGTATAACCCCACATATAATCATGGTTATCCCTAATAATAATAAATTTTAAAAGACAGACACACTTTTCAGTACATGTTTTTTTTTATTCATTCTGATTTTAAAAAAAAATGCACATAACACAACGTTGCGATATAATTTCATCGCCAAGCAACCTTCAACCAATAAGAAATTAGTAGAACGACTACCGCTCTAAGCTTTGCGGTGAACGACGTCATCACTTTTTGTGTTGCCAGTATTTTAGTTTATACGAATATAAAATGAAAAAGTGTTCCGGAGAGAAATCATAATAACAATGACTAAGGCAAGTAATTCAGTATATGCTTATAATCCGACACATGAAGGATTTTATACCAACTCACTAGTGGGAATTCGCCTCCATTTTATGAAAAAGGATAGTGTTTGTGAAAAAGAGCTGCTCTACGGGGAAATTAAAAACGTCAGCATTCAGAGAAGTGCCGACAGGGTACAGTGATTTTAGATATGTACCTAGACCTAAACTTAGGCTTCACCCTAGAAACCATATAGCTTATCGATTAACAAGGGTCCGTCAAAATTGGTTTATATTTTATATTCATACCTTAACTACTCGTTGATGAGTTGGCTACAGACACTTTGACGACATCAATGTAAGGTTTGTTATCTGTGATGATTTTATATCGCTTCCCAGACGTATGTCAAGAGGTGCACTTTTTTGCTTTGTAAACAATATTATTAAGCGGAGAGGTGTCATTTTCTCTTATGTTTATTTTTCACATACCTGTTGAATCTTGTTATAATAATACAAGCAATTTTCAGACCATGAAATACAACGTTCTGTAGACGGAATGTTGTATTTACCTACTAGCCGGAACAGCCTTTTATGGGAATCCCCTTGTCATGGCGAACTGAAAAGTTCCTGGTATTTGCAAAAAATAACAAAGCTTATAAAATCTTTGTATCGATCTCTACCAAATACGGAAGGTATGTGATAAAAGCAAGACCAAACACTTGTGTTTTTTTCTAACAAATCAGAGAGCATTCATTTAATGCGCGGACGTATATATTCACTCGTGCGCTGAGTGGTCTTGTATATACCCATGTCATATTTGTTTGCGTATTAACCCATGTAATATGACCTTTCAGCCCTGTGATTGGTTAAAAGTTTCAATTGTTTCAACTGTGACGCCAAGCCTGGGACAAGAAATGACGTCATAGACTTCCGCATTGTAGTCAAAATGGCGGCATTTTACATTTAAAGGTTGCATGAAGATTGTCGTTTTACACGAATAAATGCCACAAATCTTGATAATGTGATAAAAATGATCGTACACTCGATTTAATTTCATATGAAATTTATGAAACTCGTCACGAATTTTTCATTTCAGCTCGACAGAGGCTGCTAAATTGAAAAATTCTATGACTCGTTTCATAAATCTCATATAAAATGGAAACTCATGTAAGATCCTATATGTCTTTAGAAGTCTTCTCGAAACACAATGACAACATTTTCTCAAAAGTGTTTTTCCCTGTATTATGCACTCTAGGACATCGGGATGAAATGATATCCTCATCAAATATTTGTCCGTGGTATGGGTTGTCTTTCTATGTGCGATACTGCAATACCTGTCCTCTCGCCACGCGCCATATCCGTTTAACTTCCGGTTCAAGCACACCACCTGGTAGTGCAACACCCTGTATATCCATCTGTATTTCCTATGCTGTTTACTGTGTTTTAATTTATGGTAGAACGAAATATATATTTTCTGTGTTTTATGTGTTATAAAACAAATTACCACATGACTATGTCCATATTCTTATCCGTATCAGCCCTCGGAACTACGGCCCCTCAGGCAGATAGGCAGCCCCCGGCTTATACGGAGTAGAATATGGAAATGATCATATGATAATCTCTAAAGATATATAAAAGAAAAGACATCATTGATTATTCGCAGTATGTATTAGGTTGTTGGAAGCATATGAGAGACTGTCATTTTATGAAATAATTAAACGTTATTATATGACAATTTCCATATCCTACCAGTATCAATTCGAGACTGGCGCGAGGTCTGATATGGGTCGGCGGTTGGTATTATCATACACTTCTCTTTTTTTATCATATACTACACACTGTAACTTTTTAGTACATCAAACTTATTGGTGAATCACACAAATTGTGTAACCGTGCGCCTGTGATTTTTCTAAAATGTGTTGAACCGGAAGTTAAACGGATATCGAGCGTTTTGAGCAGATATGGCGCGTGCCAGGATAAGGCCTATGTACACTCAAGCGTAACACACACAAAACAACCCATATCACGGAAAGTATATAATATTAGGAAGAATGTAAGGCTGTTTTGTATAAAGTTGTGTATAAAATGTCCTGTAAAAGTTAGAAAATGTCCTATGTATAGGCTGCATTGAATGACGTAATCACAACTGTACGTTTATCTTATAGTACCCGGATGTGAAATACCAGATCCTCCGATGTATATGATAATGACACCCTCTAAAAATGACGCACTGCTGACGTTAGAATGTCAACCAGGCTACCAGCTACAAGGTCCCGAGTCTGTATACTGTGACGGGAAGAAGTGGAGCGACTCTATATCTACGTGTAATCGTGAGTTAACACGTAACAGATACATGTATAATGTACATACTGTATATTACACATCTATTGCTCTTATTGTAGGGAAACACGATTATTTGTTTCTCTGAGGATAATAAAGGACTCTAGATATTTGATTATGCCGAATCAATCAATCAAACAAAAACAACAACACAATAGTAGAGATGATCAGGTTAACTCGCCATTGTTGCCGTTTGCTTCTGTCATTCGGAACTAGGTTATGGTGGCTCTTGCTAGAGAGGCTCCGAATATGGGGAAATTATGATCGGGGAGCGCGTGAGGTCGGCATGATTGTTTTATTGCTCCGTCATTTGACCAGTATCATCCAATCAGACACACTGTTATAAAGATGTGGTACAATAGTACCATTTTCATATAAGTCCACTTTCGTCCCTGTTGAAATATCAGCAAGGGTGGGTCAGTTTTGGTAGATTATTGTTGTATAAAGACAATACAATGTGAAACTTTTATATTTTCAGTTATAAAAAACTTGTGTAGACCGGTTTTCTGGTGAATGTCCCTTCTGAATAAAAAAAAAGATCTCTAGGGGAATGCCCTACTCTTTGACTTTTATTGACCGTTGTTTCAGAAATAATCCTGAGAAATGTGGTAATGATCTCTCTTACTGTTCACTCACCGAGGATCAATAACTTTGATCACTCCCGTTATGCCTATTTCTTCCATATTTTCATAATTCTGTCTTCACATATATAGAGAAACAGATTTCCTAGGTTAACTCATTCACCCCTGAAGACACATTTGAACTCTTCAAATTCAAAGTTCGGAATAGTTCATTATGAAATTTCAGGGGTGAATGGGTTAAGGTTATGAAGTATAGGCTTTTTTTGAGTCTTTCATTGTTGTCATTAACATCTTTTAACTTAAATCAATTCCATTAATTAGTAAGATTGGTTTATCTGCTTAGTGTAGAAGTACGATTCGAGACCTTAGATAAAACATGACAGAAAACCTCGAATCCAAACCATCTTATGACAAACATTTATTTTCTTATATGTTTATGTTGAAGCATTATAACAAACCAATAACACATTAGTGACATGGTTAATAAAATGTGATATGGACCTTAAAAAAAGGGAAATCGATCTCGCCTTTGCTTCGGTTAATTGATACTTTTTCAGGTTCATATCAGATCATATTCACCTCCACAAAAGTCCATAATTGTATGAAATTATCTGAAATCTTTACGGTTGTTCGTTTTACAGACATGGAGCCAGCCATCCAGTGTGATTTTGAGAACAGTCAACTTTGCGGTTGGACGCAATACAGGGGAGATGATTTCGACTGGACGATCAACAGCAGTGGCACTTCTACAGACAGGACTGGTCCAGATAATGACCACACGTTTGGCTCGGCCAATAACGGTAAGTACGGACAGAACTGGACATATGATTGTAAACACGGACAGAAGTGGACAGCTGACGGTAATTACGGACAGTAGTGGTCATTTGACGGTAAATACGGACAAAACTGGATAGCTGGCGGTAAATTCGGACATAACTGGACAGTTGGCGGTAAATTCGGACAGAAATGGACAGCTTACGGTAAATACGGACAATACTGGACAATGGAAAGTAAGTAAATGCAAAACTGTTCACGATAAGTACGGACAGTACTGGACAAATAACGGGAAACACTTGTTGTAACTAGACAATTTGAGATAAGTGTTGACACTATCTGAATAGAACCTTTTTACCATATATATCATAATTACATTGGTATCGATGGAAAAGTCATAACTTGTTTGTGACTTCATGTTGATGACATTGCCGAGAATCAACGGGAACCACTCTTCAAAAACGAAATTATTTTATCAAAATGCTACTAAATATAGAATTGATATACGACACACAGTTTATATTTAATACTGATGACGTCATTTCTGTCTCTGATTGATGTTTTGTAATATTTCAGGTCATTACCTGTACATGGAATCTTCCTCGCCGCGTTCGGAAGGAGATAGTGCTATAGTTTTATCTCCTCCCTATCGAGACCTTCCGAATGGAACTTGTTTCGAATTTTATTATCACATGATGGGAAAACCTGGTCCAAATGGTAAGACATGTTTGTTTATATCCGTACTATACTCACGTTCGAGTGATTGAAACTGTCAATAACACTGGTGTGGAAGACAATATATAAACTCTACTGTTGTGTTATCGTTTTCTTTTTTCGGTATCTTGAAATATATGTATCCTTTGCGGTACGGAATAATAAGTAATAATAATAATAATAATTCGAGGTTCTTATATACTGCTTTATCAAAAGCTAGTTTGTAGGTCGTCTCAATGTGGTTCACAAATTATTATTCGTGGTTTAAGGGCATTTGCAACCAGCCAATATCTTTCTCAACTCCATGGGGAGCATACAACCGGTGCTGCCATTTCGACGCTCACAGCTAGCATTCAACGATTCTAGCACTACCCAACCACGTACTCATTTACAGCTGAGTAGACTGGAACAAGCGGAGTTAAGTATCTTGTTCAAAGATACAATACAGTGCCGTGACGTGACTCGAACCCGCAACCCTTCGGTCATGAGCCAGTGAATCCAAAAAAAAAACGTGATTATTTCTTTTCTCGGTATTAATCATGCTTTGCGAGGAATTCACCTTCGTAAAATATAATTAATTTCGAGTTATCAAAGAATCGTGTCTCTATATCACAAACCAAAACTTTGACCCCGGCAAATACGATTTTTTTCTTCTTATAGTTACTCTTAATTAAATACCATCTACTCGGTAACAGAAATACTCACATTTCGCAAAAAGGACAATATGAAAAGCTAGCTTTTGTTGCGCTGACACAGATTTGTAATTAGCCAACACTGTAGTCTCAAACAAAATGTTTTTTTACTTTTTTTAAATTTGATACATGCAATATTTCAGAGATTATTCATTGTACAAAAATATCACCCATTGCCACCGTATGCTACTGTACATTGCTACTTAATGTTTTAACTTAGTTTAACTTAGTTTATTCTAAACGCAGGTATATATCTGCCTATATTCAGGTTATAGTCCATATTTATTCAACCATAATAAAAAACAATGTTTTTGATGTGACGTCACTCCAATGTTGTTGTGAATCTGCTTTCATCACTTTCCCAAAATTTATCAATGCGGTTTTCGAAAGTAATAAGATTTGGTGCTTAAATCACCTTTCCAGGAAGGTTTTACAGTTACTAACAATTCGTTGAATAAATGAGTATTTTCTAACATCCAGTCTGCTCCAGACTGAGTGAATGATTGACAAAAGTCCCTGTGATGCTGTTGTATCATAGACTCCCCTCAATATTTTGAACACTTCTATCATGTCCCCCTTATTTTTTGTTCCTTTGTGTTAAAACTGTTGACAGTTCGGAATGCCAATGGTACCAAACCGGTATTAACATGACGATACGATACATGTATCACGATACTGGGGCCACGATACGATACGTATCACGATACTGTGGTCACGATACGATACGTATCACGATACATATAGTAACAGTAGAAACAAAAGTTATGTTGCAGATTTTAAATGGCAATATTACAACTGGGAATAGACTTGGTTAAAAATTTGCATAATTTTAAAAAGAAAGATTTACATGCAATCATTCTTGAGATTTGAAGCATTTTCTTACATTTTTCTCGATAATTGTGAAAATACGGATACTTAGGAATGCATGTACAGGGAAGTGATTTTCGTGAATGAAAACATTCAATGCAACTTTGCGCCACTCAAATTCTGACTTCAAAAGTTGAAAAGGGTGTGTCATATACCTTTGACCAATGAATCAATTTACCTGAATTCTGGTAAGCCTCGTTCTGACATAACAAAACGATATCGCAGACTTTGACCAGACTCCCTGTTCGGCGTAACTTGCGCAGACAGCAAGAGCCCGGTTGAACGAAACTAATGCCGAGCTGGTACTCGCCATGTTGGACTGATATTTGTAGACTAAATCCAGAAACGACAAAATCCGAAAATATTATAGTGTATTGTGATCTCTCAGAAATATTGTGTATCGTACTGTATTCAAAGTATCGCGATATATATTCGCACGCTATATCGTTGCATACCCAGTATATATGTTATTAGATGTTCTTTAAAAAATGACTTGTAATCGACATATTCCATTTTTCCGCAGAGGTTGGTAGTCTGTATGTGTACGTACGACGAGGCGATGAAGCCATTGAGGGCATGGTTCCTTCATTTAACGTGTCTGAGCACCAGAGCCCTGATTGGTTGAGAGGGAGTTTCGAAATTGGTGACGTCAATTCTTCAGTACAAGTATGACAAATATATACCCAATGTAGCAATAACTTGTCTTATACATATGGCATGTTAAATGAAGTACAGTCTACTTAGAAATGTAGCAAAGATATGATTTTTCTTATCTTGTTTTATTACAAGAATTCTTCTATTCTTCAAAATGGCTCTGAGCAGATTTTTTTTTTGTTATACAGTAAATCTTAATTGATGCTCTATAGCGTATAACGGGCGTATCTTGTTCCGCCCTTACGGTGCGGTTTTTATTTCGGATTTAAGTATCAGCATTACGCGAAATAGTAAAATCACGTCGTAAAATAAACAACCTCATTTAAGTTAAATTTTCACCTCTTACCTTCATTCGTGTTGAAACGTTTGAGAAGCCATGCCTGAACACTTACTGACTTGTGTTGAACAGATTGTGATCACTGGTATCCGAGGTAGGAGCTACATGGGGGACATCGCCATTGATGACGTCAGACTGTACAATTGTTCGGACCAGGGTAAGTGTAACTTTAATTTTAAAAAGAAACTGTATGGGAAATAGAAACGACTCTGTACACTTGTAAATTAATAGATATACTGTTAAGCTTCCTAAAGAACCAAACTTACGAGGCGACTAATGTGGTTCCCTGGAGAATCGGCGGTTATGGTTCGGTTTAACTGGGTTTAGCATTCTATAAACAGATAACGTCATTAAGGGCGTGTTTCTGTGTGGTTGCTGTGTGCGTTTTTTACCACAAGCTGTATATTGGTGTATTTGCCTGCTTGCGATAGCGATAATCTGACACCGACATTAGAGTTCTATCTCACTGAAATACCATGCTGTAGGCACCCATCACAGTATTCCACCCGAACACATTATACTGACAACGGGTAAACCAGTTGTTGCCATTGCCAATGTTGAACGTTAAGCAGGAATAACAACCACCATTCTTTAAGGACTTTGGTATGTCCCGGCATTGGGACAGAACCAAGTGCCTTCCATGCTTAGGCGAACGTTCAATACTAGGTATTGACGGACATGGCGTTAGGAAACAAAAGGTTGTTAGGACGTAGAGAGAAAACATACAAAAACAAATATTGCAATGGTTGCAGCAGGTCTATTTTGGACGCTTTTATGTCTATGGTTGAGGACACAGATACAAATATTCAATTATGCAAGAGGTTTCCACATTGGTCGCCTTTTACAACATGCAGCGGGTAACAATATAGGTATATTTTTCACAGTCCACGACCTTCATGGATGCAAACATCCTCGATACTCCAGGGGTAGTGCTCACTTTCTCTCTCAGGACCCCTGGAATATGTCATAATAAAATTGAAGGCTCAGTGTGCGCCACCTTGTTGATGAGACAATTAGACTAGGTTGATCCTATGATGTACATTAACAGAATCTCACGGACGCGTAACGGCAAAACTTACTGGCTTTAAAGTCGGGCGTCGCTCCTCTGTAATCTTCAAAGGACAGGTATTAGCCAAGCGTTTGGTCAGATGTTTTTTTTACATGAGCCAGCCAAATAGTTAGCCGCATGTCTTCAATTTTGTTATGACATATTCCAGGGGGTGCAGAGAGCGAAAGTGAGCGTAACCCCTGGATATCGAGGGTGTGATGCAAATCGTAGGTTTTTTTTCTGTGTCTTTAACTTCGGGGACAACGACGCAAACTATCGCTTAGAGGACATAGAAAAAAACATATTTGGGATCTCAATCTTTTCTCTTCTCTGTATCCGACTGGTTCTTGGTTACTGTGTCATCGTAGGCACACGTCGTTTTCATGTGGTCTTAGCTTTTGCGAAGGTGTTGAATTTCATACAAACGAAGTTACATAAATATGTTAAACTTGGTATAAAGTCTTTTCATTTTTGTTCAAAATGATATTCATTTACGCACATATTTTTGCTTAAACTGTGTCAAAAGGAAGGCTACAATATAGAAAATATTATTTATTATCAACCTAAACTTTTTTGTGTTTCATGATCGTGTTTTTTTCTCAATGACAATATCTACCAATCAATAATCGATAAACATTACCTCGTATCAATGTTGTTGTTTTTTTAAGTCGATGACGTAACAACTGAAAGTGAAATCGATACAACCATACAATGGACGACATATATACCGGAAGTGACGTCTATGGTACCTGATGATGTATCGACATTTTCCGATATTGTTACAACAGATATCCCAGACGAAATCACAACAACAAATATATTGGTGACTTTTGATGATCATCTCGTGACTTCAACATCTGACGCTGATGTATCTACTTCTACTTCCGTTTCGAACACAACCGCCATCCTGTCCAACACAACGCCTGATGTTGTTGACGTGACAACAGAGTCTTCAACAACAGAGAATATTATGACAGAAATAACATCGAAACCAGCAACATCTGTTATTTCGACACCAAAAATGATACAATCGCCGACAACAGAAGTTGTCACGACGAACGCAACAACGTCTAGTACACCAAGAACAACATCGACAACGACCACCAAAGCTACAACAACTATAAGAAGAACTAAACGGCCATCAACTACTACAACATCAGTAACGACAACTCCGACTACTACAACAACGACAATGTCGACGACGACAACAACAACGCCGACAACAACAACGCCGCCGACAACAACAACAACAACAACAAAAACAACACCGACAACGACGATGTCGATACCCACATCTCCAAAACCGACAACAAAAGCGACAACTCTTAAACAAACCACAACACCATTAACAAGTACAGTTAAGGAACGTAAGAGTACATCACCTTCAACAACAACAAAAACTGAAACAACACCAAGAACAAGGACAACACCAACGACAACACCAATAACAACAACAACATTGACAATACAATCAACACGTAACTCAGTAGCTACCGAGCGAAATTCCAACACATCCACTATAAATACGGCAAGAAGAAGTACAACTACAATCTCTGAAAATGCTATACCGGAAGTAACAAGAACACCGCAAAACAATAATGAAACAGACATTCCAAACGTGATTCAGGTTGGTAAAACGTCCACCCAATCAAAGGGTCCCGTTAAACCTTTGATGATTGGCGTTGGAGTGGGAGTGGCTATTGGTCTAGCCATTGTCTTGGTAATAGTGTTTTTGTATATGAAGAAGCACCGAAAGAAACACGACGATATGGAAGACGAAATGTCTCCTATAGCTAGAAACGCTTACAGTGAATGGTAGCTTACAGCGCAAATCTATTAAATATTAAAGCCAGGCAATTATTCTGTGACATTGGGTAGTTAATGAGACCAGAACTGTATTAGCTTGTTGTTACTTATTCTCATTTAACAATAATTCAGCAGCCGTGATTGCATGGTTCCTTACACGGAATTTCCAATGACCTAGAATGAGTTCCCATAGTAACGATGCTGCTATGGACTTCTGAAGGTTATGGAGTTCCGATGACTTGTTCAAGACAATGGAACTTATAAATACTTTCCACGGATGATTATGATTAGGGTTATATGGCTTAAACACTCTTCCCAAGTCTATGTGCTTCAATACACAGCGCATGTCATTAGGTCTTTATAAATGATTTACACGTTCTTTAGACGGTGTTGTGGATTATGTGTACTTCCGAAGAGTTTTATATGTATATGACGTACTTCATACAGCGTCATTGCTTACATATACACCTCCCCGAGCTAGATGTACTTCGCGTACACTGTACCTCACACGGTGTTGTGGCATGCGTGCACTTCCAAATACTTTTTTATATGTGTATGACGTACTTCATACAGCGTCATTGCTTACATGTACACCTCCCCGAGCTAGATGTACTTCGCGTGCACTGTACCTCCCACGGTGTTGTGGCATGCGTGCACTTCCAAAGACTTTTTTATGTATTTGACGTACTTCATACAACGTCATTGCTTACATATACACCTCCCCGAGCTAGATGCACTTCACGTACACTGTACCTCACACGGTGTTGTGGCATGCGTGCACTTCCAAATACTTTTTTATATGTGTATGACGTACTTCATACAGCGTCATTGCTTACATGTACACCTCCCCGAGCTAGATGTACTTCACGTACACCGTACCTCCCACGGCGTTGTGGCATGCGTGCACTTCCAAAGACTTTTTTATGTGTATGACGTACTTCATACAGCGTCATTGCTTACATATACACCTCCCCGAGCTAGATGTACTTCACGTACACTGTACCTCACACGGTGTTGGCATACATGTACTTCTAAAGACTGTTATATGTAGTTTAAGTACTTCATACATGTGTACATCATGGTTGCTTATATGTACATACGTACGACAATTAAGTTATCCCCACGGTGTTGATGCATACATATTATACTTCCCTATATCTACTATATCTGATTGGCTGTCTTGTTGTTCCAATTGGTATTACTTGGATTTGATTTAATCGTGAATCAATTTCATGGACTCTCACTTAGATACTTTAACCTATTGCACTGCGAATATCGTAGTTTCTGCCGTGTAATATCCCATGTTTATTAACACTGTATATATGATATGATGTAAATGTTTGTATTCTAACATAGTTAAATAATTGTCCAATGTGATTGATATCACCATCAACATGCCTGTATGTGCCTAAATCTATATAGTATTTGTATGCATGGTAGTTGTATTGTGTGACTTCACACTAAACTGTGTCCTGTTGTGTGACGTCACACTAAACTGTGTCCTGTTGTGTGACGTCACACTAAACTGTGTCCTGATGTGTGACGTCACACTTACAGGTCGTACTGCGTAACGTCAGCCTTAAACCTGCCACAGGATGACGTCACAAAGAAAACATACGATATGACGTAACAAAGCACGTGCCTTTGTCATAAGAATGTCTGACTCCATACTTTCTTTTCTAACTGTCATAAATATTGGTATTAAATTGAATATACATGTTGAAGAAAAATATTTCCATTGGACACTCTTAAGCAATCTTGCCTGTGATTCCAATTTATCAAAGTTTCGTCTAAGACAACAGTTTACCAAAATTCCATTTGACACGACAGCCAAATTTGTGTCTGATCTCTTCTATCAAAAATCTGTCCGAATCTAGCTGCTATAGTCTACTTGAGTTATTTCCCCTGTCATAACTTATATTATCAATGCAGCCAGTCTCGCGCTTAAGGTAAAGAGTATTTACAATTTTAACTATATTATATCCTCGCAACTATTGTAAAACATTTGTTTTTGTCTTCAAAGAAATATTCAATTAAAAATTACAAAAATTGAATGTTGCGATGCGTTTTACAGAACAATGGATGTTTGAAAAAAGAAAGAAATTAAAAAGAAAAAAATATGAAAATTACAGGGGTCGAACTCGGGGCCTTTACATTGCCCAGATACACTTTTTTCAATATTGCCATACAGAAATTATGGAAGTTCAGCTTCAAAGTGAGTGTCCGATTTATGGGCCGCAAAGTCGTTGAATAACTTGACAGGGGACATCACTCAAAGCCAGAAAACTCCTTTGGGTTGCTTTGTCTTCTATATGCAAGGGATAATACTCCAAGTGTGACAGCGTTTTATAAACTCTTTTTTTTGCCATTACAACTGAATCAGAGGTACATTTTACCTTAACTCTGTACGTGTTTATAGAAGACAAATGAGATTGTATATATATATTGTATACATGTTACTTATACTGTTTGTATAGAGTTTATAATTATTTTTTATTTCTTTATCTGGCCATGGGAAGTGAGGTATTTTTTGGTGTAAAAAGTCTAACAGAAAATAATCTCAATACGTTCTAGGATTGATTAATGCTTATTTTTCTATTCAATTTGGTATATACTTATTTTTTATACAATAAACAATTTAATTGTGAGTAAATGTTTGCGGTTGTTTTTGTGAGAAAAAATTAGGATGTATCTTAATTCTGGTTCTGATAATGTGATAAAACTATCCCATTTGATATGAGAGAATGTTATTATATTTCTCTGCGAATTTCCGCAGAAAAGCTTATAAAGGCTTAATATGTGTTAACATATGTTTTATAGCTTTTTATTAATACTATCATTCAAAAACAAAGCAGAGCGCAAAGAACTATTACATTTGTACACATGACTGTTGTTCCAGTCAGCAAACGGTTCGGGTATTTCCGTCATAATTCGAACTTTGACGGAAATCCCGGAATGATTTCCGATTGGTGTCTGTCGGAAGTAGTACACAACCTTATTCAGCAAAATCAGACTGTTCCACCACTTCTGCTAAAAAGTTTGTTGGTAATATGTAGTGAAATAAAAGAACCACAAATTAGTATTTGTTTTTTATTGTTTATAACGTACAAGATGTTAATTCTAAAAATGTGCGATATTGAACTGTATTAAATGCAGTTGCTTACAAACATATCCCCCCCCCCCCCCCGGATATATATATATAACACCATTTCGGATTACATAGGACATGCTAATCCGGATTATATTGGACACATTGATCCGAATTAAATAGACTGGCTAATCCGGATTACATAGACCATGGACATCCGAACTATACAGACCATGACAATCCGGATATATAGGACATTATGCTAATCCGAATTATAAAGGGAATGACAATTCGGATTATAAAGGCAAGCCAATCCGGATTAAGTAGAACACAGTATTCCAGATTATTTAAGACAAACCAATAAGGATTAAACAGGACATGCAATCCGGATAATATTGGACACACCAATCCGGATTATATAGGACATTCCAAAACCGATTATATAGGATATGTTAGTCCGGAGAATATAGGACATGCCAATCTGGATTATAAAGGACATGCAAATCTGGATTATTAAGGACATGCCAATCCGGATTATAGAGTTCATGCCAATTCGGATTATAAAGGACATGCCAATCTTGATTATATATATGTAGGACATGTTAGCCCGAATTATAAAGGACAGGCAAATCTGGATTACATAGGACATGTAAATCCGGATAAAAAAGGACATGCAAATCTGGATTATAAAGGTCATGCCAATCTGGATTATAAAGGACATGCCAATCCGGATTATAAAGGAAATGCCAATCCGAATTATAAAGGACATGCAAATCTGGATTATAAAGGAAATGTCAATCCGGATTATAAAGGTCATGTCAATCCGGATAATAAAGGTCATGCCAATCCGAATTATAAAGGACATGCCAATCTGGATTATAAAGGACATACAAATCCGGATTATAAAGGAAATGCCAAACCGGATTATAAAGGACATGCCAATCCGGATTATAAAGGTCATGCAAATCTGGATAATAAAGAAAATGCCAATCCGGATTATAAAGGTCATGCCAATCCGGATTATAAAGGTCATGCCAATCTGGATTATAAAGTTCATGCCAATCCGGATAATAAAGGACATGCCAATCTTGATTATATATATGTAGGACATGTTAGCCTGAATTATAAAGGACAGGCAAATCTGGATTATATAGGACATGTAAATCCGGATAAAAAAGGACATGCAAATCTTGATTATAAAGGAAATGTCAATCCGGATTATAAAGGTCATGTCAATCCGAATTATAAAGGTCATGCCAATCCGACTTATAAGGGACATGCCAATCTGGATTATAAAGGACATGCCAATCCGGATTATTTAGGACATACCAATCCGGATTGTAAAGGACATGCAAATCCGGATTATAAAGGTCATGCCAATCTGGATTATAAAGAACATGCCAATCTGGATTATAAAGGTCATGCCAACCGGATTATAAAGGACATGCCAATTCGGATTATAAAGGACATGCCAATCCGAAGTATAAAGGACATACAAATCCGGATTATAAAGAACATGCCAATCTGGATTATATAGGAAATGCCAAACCGGATTATAAAGGACATGACAATCTGGATTATAAAGGACATGTCAATCCCGATTATAAAGGACATGCAAATCTGGATATTAAAGAAAATGCCAATCCTGATTATAAAGGTCATGCCAATCCGGATTATCAAGGTCATGCCAATCTGGATTATAAAGGACATGCCCATCCGGATAATATGGGATATAACAATCTGGATTGTAAAGGACATGCCAATCTTGATTATATACATGTAGGACATGTAAGCCTGGATAATAAAGGACAGGCCAACCTGGATTATATAGGACAGGCCAACCTGGATTATATAGGACATATAAATCCGGATAATAAAGGACATGCAAATCTAGATTATAAAGGTCATGCCAATCCGGATAATAAAGGTAATGCCAATCCGGATTATAAAGGTCATGCCAATCCGGATTTTAAAGGACATGCCAATCTGGATTATAAAGGACAAGCCAATCTGGATTATAAAGGAAATGCCAATCCGGATTATAAAGGAAATGCCAATCTGGATTATAAAGGACATACCAATCCGGATTATAAAGGACATACCAATCTGGATTATAAAGGAAATGGCAATCCGGATTGTATAGGACACACTAATCCGGATTATATAGGACATACCAATCCGGATTATAAAGGACATACCAATCCGGATTATATAGGACATACCATCCGGATTATATAGGACATACCAATCTGGATTGTATAGGAAATGCCAATCCGGATTATATAGGACATACCAATCCGGATTATACAGGACATGCCAATCTGGATTATAAAGGACAGACAAATCCGGATTATAAAGGACATACCAATCTGGATTATAAAGGAAATGCCAATCCGGATTGTATAGGAAATGCCAATCTGGATTATAAAGGACATACCAACCCGGATTAAAAAGGAGATGCCAATCTGGATTATAAAGGACATACCTATTCGGATTATAAAAGACAAACCAATCTGGATTATAAAGGAAATGCCAATCCAGATAATAAAGGACATACCAATCTGGATTATAAAGGAATAACCAATCCGGATTATAAAGGAGATGCCAATCCGGATTATAAAGGACATGCAAATCTGGATTATAAAGGAAATGTCAATCCAGATTATAAAGGTCATGTCAATCCGGATTATATAGGTCATGCCAATCCGAATTATAAAGGACATGCCAATCTGGATTATAAAGGACATGCCAATCCGGATTATTTAGGACATACCAATCCGGATTGTAAAGGACATGCAAATCCGGATTATAAAGGTCATGCCAATCTGGATTATAAACAACATGCCAATCTGGATTATAAAGGTCATGCAAACCGGATTATAAAGGACATGCCAATTCGGATTATAAAGGACATGCCAATCCGGATTATAGAGGTCATGCAAACCGGATTATAAAGGACATACAAATCCGGATTATAAAGGACATGCCAATCTGGATTATACAGGAAATGCCAAACCGGATTATAAAGGACATGCCAATCCGGATTATAAAGGACATGTCAATCCGGATTATAAAGGACATGCACATCTGGATAATAAAGAAAATACCAATCCGGATTATAAAGGTCATGCCAATCCGGATTATAAAGGTCATGCCAATCTGGATTATAAAGGACATGCCAATCCGGATTATATGAGATATACCAATCCGGATTGTAAAGGACATGCCAATCTTGATTATATACATGTAGGACATGTAAGCCCGGATTATAAAGGACAGGCCAATCTGGATTATATAGGACATGCCAATCCGGATTACAAAGGAAATGACAATCTGGATTATAAAGGACATACCAATCCGGATTATAAAGGACATACCAATCTGGATTATAAAGGACATGCCAATCTGGATTATAAAGAAATGCCAATCCGGATAATAAAGGAAATGCCAATCCGGATTATAAAGGAAATGCCAATCTGGATTATAAAGGACATACCAATCCGGATTATAAAGGACATATCAATCTGGATTATAAAGGAAATGCCAATCTGGATTATAAAGGAAATGCCAATCCGGATTATAAAGGAAATGCCAATCTGGATTATAAAGGACATACCAATCCGGATTATAAAGGACATACCAATCTGGATTATAAAGGAAATGCCAATCCGGATTATAAAGAAATGCCAATCCGGATAATAAAGGAAATGCCAATCCGGATTATAAAGGAAATGCCAATCTGGATTATAAAGGACATACCAATCCGGATTATAAAGGACATATCAATCTGGATTATAAAGGAAATGCCAATCTGGATTATAAAGGAAATGCCAATCCGGATTATAAAGGAAATGCCAATCTGGATTATAAAGGACATACCAATCCGGATTATAAAGGACATACCAATCTGGATTATAAAGGAAATGGCAATCCGGATTGTATAGGACACACTAATTCGGATTATATAGGACATACCAATCCGGATTATTAAGGACATACCAATCCAGATTATATAGGACATACCATCCGGATTATATAGGACATACCAATCTGGATTGTATAGGAAATGCCAATCCGGATTATATAGGACATACCAGTCCGGATTATAAAGGACATGCCAATCTTGATTATAAAGGACAGACAAATCCGGATTATCAAGGACATACCAATCTGGATTATAAAGGAAATGCCAATCCGGATTGTATAGGAAATGCCAATCTGGATTATAAAGGACATACCAATCCGGATTAAAAAGGAGATGCCAATCTGGATTATAAAGGACATACCAATCCGGATTATAAAGGACATACCAATCCGGATTTAAAAGGACCTACCAATCTGGATTGTATAGGACACATTAATCCGGATTATATAGGACATACCAATCCGGATTGTATAGGACATACCAATCCGGATTGTATAGGAAATGCAAATCCGAATTATATAGGACATACCAATCCGGATTGTATAGGACACACCAATCCGGATTATATAGGACATACCAATCCGGATTATAAAGGTCATGCCAATCCGGATAATATAGGAAATGCAAAACCGAATTGTTTAGGACACATCAATCCGAATTGTATAGGACACACCAATCTGGATAGTATAGGACACTCCAATCTAGATTATAAAGGACATGCTAATCCTGTTTAAATAGGACATGTCAATCCGGATAACATAGGTCATTATGATGATCCGGATTATTTAGGCCATTATATTTATCCGGATTTCAAGGACATGCCAATCCGGATGATATATGACATTTTGCATATCCGGATTATAAAGGCCATGCCAACCCGGATTATATAGGACATTATGCTTATCCGAATTATATAGGAAATGCCAATCCGGATTAAATATGACACATCAATCCGGATTAGTTAAGACTAACCAATCCAAATAAAGTAGGACATGCCAATCCTGATAATATAGGACATTATGCTAATCCGGATTATATAGAACACACCAATCCGAATGATATGACACAA